TTGGGACTTGGTCGTATGCCAGGAATCAAATTCCGAGGTCTCTAGCCCGAGATATGGAATTTTGATGAAAAATTAAAAGTTTAAGTTCAAATAGTGACCGGATGTCAAATTATGTGAAAACGTCCCTGGAATTGAATTTTGATGATTCCAACAGCTCCGTATGGTGATTTTGGAGCATGATCGGAATTTTATTTGGAAGTCCGAAGTGGAATTAGGCTTGAAATGCCAAAAGTTGAATTTTTGGGAAGTTTGACCGGGGGTTGACTTTTTGATATCAAGGTCGGAATCTGATTTTGGAATTTTGAATAGGTCTTTTATGTCATTTATGACTTGTATGCAAAATTTGAAGTCATTCCGAATTGATTTGATGTGTTTCGGCACAAGATATAGAATTTGAAAGTTCAAAGTTCATAGATTTTGATTTGAGGTGTGATTCGTCGTTTTGATGTTGTTTGATGCAGTTTGAAGCCTCGACTAAGTTCGTATTGTATTTTGGGACATTTTGGAATAATTAGTTAAGGTCCTGAGGGTCTCGGGTGGATTTCGGAAGGTAAACGGAATGAATTTCGGACAAAGAGGGTTGCTGGAAATTTCTGGTGCGTGGAGCCAATTTTGGAAGCTTATATCTTGCAATTCATAAGTAAGAGGAAAATTTTCAAACATAAAATTTGTAGTCATTTGATTCTAGTTTCCAAAAAGTTAAACCATTCATTATTTGGACATTTGTACAGAAAGTTATGATGGATTGAATGAAGGCTGGTAGAACAGTTTCGCCAGAAATTTCTGATGCGTGGAGCCGACTTTGGAAGATTATATCTCGCAATTCATAAGGAATCGGAAAATTTTCAAAACATGAAAGTTGTAGTCGTTTGATAATTTCCAGAAAGTTAAACCATTCATCATTTGAACATTTATACATAAAGTTATGATCGATTGAAGGAAGGCTGGTACAAGCAAGTTCTGGTGGACTTTTAGTGACGGAAAATGGACTTTTAGTGATGGATGGGCAGAAACTTAATGACCAAAAATGGTCATTTCCTTCATTTCATTTTGGATTTTTGGAGCACGATTCTTGGGCGATTTTTGGGCGATTTTCACAGGAAAATATTGGGGTAAGTGTTCCTTATCCTATATTGATTATATTTCATAATTCCATACTCATTTACATCATGAATCCTTGAATTTATGGAAGAAAAACCTAGAGTTTTGCAAAAATCTTTCAAAAACGAAAACTTAAGATTTAGAGGTCGAGTTGTTATCGAAATTTGGTAAAATTGGTATGAGTGGACTTGTAATTGAATGAGTTGTCGGATTTTATAAGTTTCGCCGGATTCCAAGATGTAGGCCCCACAGGCAAATTTTGAGCTAATTTCAATTTTTTATTGAAAAATATAATATATTTTTTATGAAATTGATTACTATAATTTTTGTTGATTGATTACTATAATTTCCTCGATCGGAGTAGGAAAATCGAGGAAAAAACATAATACTTGGTTAAATTGGAGCAAGTCGAGGTAAGTGACTTGTCTAACCTTGTAGGGAGGGGGGGAGAGGGGAGAATTCCCCCTAAGATTGATAATTGTAATGTGTGGAAAGTCGTGTAAAAGAGGTGACGAGTGTGTACACAGGCTAAATGTGAAAAATTATGTTTTAAATTGTGTAGATTATTATTGCGCATTAATTAAATTATTTCATTTTGTTATATTCTTCATTATTGATTTAATGTTTACATTTTAAATTTGCTTGACCTTTTTCTGCTAATTGTTTTATCTGTTTAGTTTGAACTTGGTTTATTTTATTCTGTGCATTATTTGAAGGTTGATTTTTTTAAAATCTAAATATTATTAATATGAAGTATTTGACATTTTTAAACTTGATATTGAAGAAACGCATTAAAGATTTTGAAATATTAGTTTCCTGAATTATTTATTCCTAAATATTTTTGTAAGATTTCCGTACTCATTGTGATGGAGCAATGAGCTCTTTATTGTGGAAAAATATTATTGTTGAATTATTTTGACATGAGTCGTGAGCTCTTTATTGTGGAAAAATATTATTGTTGAATTATTTTGACATGAGCCGTGAGCTCTTTATTGTGGAACAATATTATTGTTGAATTATTTTGACATGAGTCGTGAGCTCTTTATTGTGGAAAAATATTATTGTTGAATTTTTTTGACATGAGCCGTGAGCTCTTTATTGTGGAACAATATTATTGTTGAATTATTTTGACATGAGCCGTGAGCTCTTTATTGTGGAAAAATATTGTTGTTGAATTATTTTGGCAAGTTCAATTATTTGAGCACTTGAGGTGCAAATTGTGATATATTGTGATATTGATACGCATGTGGTGGTAGAAGGTCTGGGTATTGAAATGCATGCGGTGAGATAAGGGTCGCTTGATACGCGTGGCTAGTAGGGGGAACTACTAGAAGTCATGCGGTATGATAAGGATGGCTAAAACGCGGGATGCTATTTCGGAAAAAATATTTTCTTTCAAATAAATTGTGAAGGCTCCCGCGGTGAGATAAGAAAATGAGATATTGTGAATTTATTTATGATTTGGGACTACGAGGCGGTACCTCGGGAGTGCCCTTGTTGATATTGATTTATGGTCGTAGTTGCCTTTGATTTTTGTTGTGATCTTTTATAAAGTTAAAAAATAATTATGTTTTGTTTCCACGAGGTATTTATTTGCCATTATTTGGTGTAATTAAATGTGACATACTACTTGATTCATTTCCATTGTCATTTTATCTTATTATATTATTTAAATATTTTTACCATGTCATTATTTATTTTTCAGTAGGGCCTGACCTGACCTCGTCACTACTCTACCGAGGTCAGGCTTGTCACTTACTGGGTACCGCTGTGGTGTACTCATATTACGCTTTTACACATCTCTTTGTGCAGATCCAAGTACATCTTATCAGATTAGACATCAGTAAACTAGCTGTACGAGGAGACTTCGAGGTATATCTACCAGCGCCCGCAGACTCGAGAGTCCCCTTCTATTCTTGTTATGTTGCTTCCTTATTTTCTTTAGACTCTGTTATATAGAGACATTGAGGATAAATTCTTAGAAGCTTGTGACTTATTTCTATTGAGTTTTGGGAGTTGAAATTTTTTGAATTGTAGTTTATTTATTTCAGATATTTATTATTATTCCGCATTGATAGGCTTACCTAGTCTCAGATACTAGGTGCCATCACGACATCCTGCGGAGGGAATTAGGGGTCGTGACATAGCCCGAAAATAACTTTCACGTCCTCAAGTGTGATGGAAGCCTCGCCCATGGGCAGATGAAATGTGTGCATCTCTGGTCGCTACCTTTCTATCATAGTCGTGATCAACGCCCAATCGAACTACAACCGGTCGATCTCTATGATCCTGTAGAAACCCGTATCCTAAAGGCGTCTATCTATACGAGGATGGACTAGGTTGTCCCTAATGAACTCCCACATATCGTCTATACGTCTAGGGCGGAATGTCTGGGCCAGACACTGCCCATCCCAGATGTATGAAGACCTATGGTTGCCATGTAGAAATAACAGCTCTCGAGATGCAGGTCCGAGATGCATAAGGGGAACCTACATGACGATGTCTGTAAACTAAACAATATTAATTAGAGTATTTTTCTTTTTAACTCCTTAACATATTTAAACATATTGCAATATCTTTTATATTAATATTTAATCGATATTTTTAATATATTATTACTTAGGTTGATACATTTTCTATATTATTATTTTATAAGTTAGTTTATTACATTATTTTATATGTTAGTTTATTATTTTATATGTTTGTTTCTTACTTAGTTATTTTTTGGGTATAATAGAATTAAATAATTAATTTTTATAACTATATATGTTATAATTAAGTATTCATATAAAATACTTAGTTTGACAAATATTGTTATTTTTATGTTATTTTCTTACATTTGTTAACTAAATTTCGAGAGATTTTGTGTTTGAACTATCATTTATTTCGAGATATTTTTGGGGTTAAGAGATAATTAAATAATTAATTTTAATAATTTAGTAATTATTCATATAACATATACTTAGGTTGATAAATTTTCTATATTAATATTTCATATGTTAGTTTCCAACATTTTCCCACTAAAGTAACACTAATCAAAATAGTCATGAACAAAGTCAACTACCAATAGCTAAAATTTATTATCACTTTGATTACTCTAAAAGGCACTACATTATAATTACGGGTACTATATTATAATTACGGGCACAACATAACACAAAAGGGCACTAAACAACAATAAAGTGACATATTAATATGCGTACAACAACAAAATCTAAATAACATTAATTATTCAGAAAATAATAATTTATCTAAATTACTAATGTTTAAGCACATAAATAATTTAATCCGTATAAATAACAACAAATTAATTAAATCACAAAAAAATCACGAAAAAATATAGACCATAGTAAAAAATAACTAATAAATATTTTTTTATAACAACTAATAACATTAATTAATTTATCTATTTTTAGCACATAAATAAACTAATCTGGATAAAAAATAACAAATTAATTAAATCATAAAACAATCATGGAAAAGCATAGACCACAGTAAAAAACGACTAATACGCATTTTTTATATATAAGTTTTACCAAAAAGTAAGGCGGAATACATCGATTTAAAAAATTTTGAAAGGTGAAAATTTGATGATTTGGGGGCAAAAACGAGCAATCCACTACGCGATAACCACTTAGATCCGATGTTAGCTTGCTACAATACGAAAAAGATACACTTTTTGTGGGACGAGTGAGCTCGCTTTTTTTATGTAGGTATAGCCCATATATAGGATGCGCTATACTATAGTGCGTCCTATATGTGCGCTATACCTCCCGGCCTTTTTGAGTTCAAATATAGCGCGGTACCTTAACGATTAAACGTGCCGATAAGGTATAGCGCGGTGAATAACCGCGCTATATATAAAATGATACACAATATTTTTTAAATACCCATTATACCACAATTTCTTTCAGCAATCTTCATTTTCCCGCTGTCATGTCATGTCTGTAATAGTACATATACGTACAAGTTTCAAGTGGGCCAAAACCAACTAATGGACTATGGCGGAAGAAGAAGAAGAGACGTGGTCCTTGACCTCAGGGCATAGGTTCAATTGGGACATATTCCTCAGCTTCAGAGGAGAAGACACGCGCCACGGATTTACCAACAAACTCTACAATGAACTCGTACGGAATGGTGTACGGACATTCATCGACGACGAAGGCCTGGATCGCGGCGAAGAGATCGCTCCGAATCTCTCGGCCGCGATCGAAGACTCGGCAGCTTCGATCGCCGTGATTTCACAGAACTACGCCTCTTCGAAGTGGTGCCTCGAAGAACTGGTGAAGATCTCGGAATGCAAAAGGCTATTACTGCCTGTTTTCTACGGAGTTGACCCGTCGGACGTGCGAAGACAGAAGGGTCCGTTTGAGGAGCACTTTAGGAAGCACGAAATTGTGGTGGAAGCGGAGAAGGTTTGTCGCTGGAGAGAAGCTATGAAAAAAGCTGGTAATATCTCCGGTTGGGATTCCATGATCTGGTATGTATATATATCCTTCATCCCTCTCTCTTCAACTGTTATCTACAAACAGCACAAAAAATAGTAAATGGAGCGGTACTGGTAAATAAAGTGGACGGACACTCATGAGGCATCATTTTCAAATTTTAGCTAAGTCAAACTAATCTGTGATTTTTTCACATATGCCTAAATTTTGATCGGTGACGAGTAACATATGGATGTACTGTAAAGGTAATTGAGGTGCGTGCCTAAAAATAGATTAGAATTTGTTTTTGTTATGAATCGACTGAATTTGAATGTCTAACACTAAGTATGAGCTTAAAAATGAAGGACGATAGCAAAAAGCTAAACACTTCAAATTGCATTGTGTGTGTGATAGTAATATTTTACACTTTTTCGTATAAATCTTAAAGAGTTATACATAAGAAAATGGGATTAATAATATGAAGAAAAAAAAATATGGCAAGTTGCCAGCAAAAAAATAGGTTAATTTACATTGATACAATAGAAGTTTTTTACACTATTAGATCTACGAAAGAATTCCCTGTTTAAAAAACTAAATTTCAGATTCTTCATTCATTTTTCTAACTTCCACTGGAAGTGATTTAGAAGTTAGATCGGCCAATTATGAATTCCCTGTTTAAAAAGGTAGATTTCAGATTCTTCATTTTTTAAACATCCACTGGAAGTGATTAACAACGATTTCCTACTTAATCGGTGTGACTAATCCTATTGGTCCGAGGTGGAGGAACTTCACCATTTAAAAAACCGTTACTCCTTTCACATTCATCAAATTATTTTTTGTTTATTGGTGATGGTCACGCTTTTCCTATCATTTCATGGTAACCAAAAGGCACGTTTCGGAAAACGTGACAAGTAATTGACTTTCCATAGCTGTCTTTTGAGATTGGAACGAGGGTCAATGGTTTGGTTTAGTGTTATTCTAAAATATTATATTATACCTACTTTTCGGTTAATTTGTCGTGTGTAATCAATCATACAGTTCGATTTGATTCAATTAATTTTTGATATTTTATTTTCAAAACGTTAGTCTGGATACTAAAGTTATTAGGATTTTCATTTGTCACCTACAGGTAGCAAATTTCATTATACCAGAAAGTTTTTATAATTCTCATGTTAAGAAACAAATGGAAGAAATTATTGTAAATTTCTGTAGGAGCATTATCTTTCTAATAGAGTTTTTATAATAGAAGAATGTTTTTATAATAGAGTTTTTAAGTCTTTCTACCAGTAGTCTGATAGAGTTTTATTTAGGTTTGTTAGCGGTCTATGTTGTGTTCATATTGTTATTTTGCATAGTTTTGTGTTACTGTACTTTTACTTATTCGTTGTTGTTATTATCTTTCTGGCATCTTTTGTTATTACATGCCTTTTCTTTTGTTTCTTTTCTGATATTATTGTCTCTTCTGTTGAGCCGAGAGTCTCCCGGAAACAGTCTCTCTACCATTTTCGGGGTAGGAGTAAGATCTGCGTACACTTCACTCTCCCCAGACGCCACTAGTGGGATTTTACTGGATATGATGATGATGATGATGATGATGATGATGATGTAGAAGCATTATCCTTTACCATCAATCTAAGTTGCTCGGACACGTACGGGTGCGAGTGTTCGATACGGGTGCGAATCTAAATATCGGATCCTTCGAGATGTAAATTCTAAGATTCAGGGATATGGATCTTAGTACAGATACGGGTACGGGGATCCGGTTAAAAATAATTCAAAAACTAAAAATATAAAATTATCTTTAAATTATGAGAAATTTTGTGAGAACTTACGTATACCGTGAATTTCTTTTTTGTTCTCAAACTATAGATTAATAAAGAGTTGATCCTAGATAAAATATGCTATTTTCTTCAAATTTACCTCTATTTTTGGTTTTGATTTCGAGAATCAAATTATATTTTATCTCGAAGTTTTCCATTCGTCGTGGTCAAAGTATCCAAAATTATTTGACCAAATCCGATACGGATCTCTTACCCACACTCATACTAGTGTCGTGTCGATACGAATGCGGCACTTAAAATGTCATGCCGGATCAACTTAGCCATCAATGCATATCAATGAAAGTTAACTTGAAGCCGATTGTAGTTTTTGATCTTGTTGCAAGAGAGATCAACAACCAGTTTCATCTTCTTATTGTAGAAGTTTAGACCACGACTAAAAATTTGAATATTTCTAGATAATAATTTTTCATCCATTTACGAGCTGCATTGACCTGTGGTTGACTGGCGAGGAGCGTCTAAATTTATAGAATCATATTCAACTTCCGAAAATTGTTCCCACAGTGCAGCTTTGATGCAACTGTTAATCTTTGCTCTACAATTCTGAAAATGTTCAAATCCATTGAACCCTTTCCAACTTTAATCATGTAACGTTCAAAGCTTCGATATTAAGAAAAGCTTTTGAATATATAGTGATAGTCATGTAAAGAATTTTCACTCTTATTTAATTACTTGAGAAACTAGTTATACATATATATTAACAATGGATAATAAGTACAGATATTTTTAGTGGGACCGAAAGTAATTTGAGAAAGAAGTTATAATTATGTTATGTATTAGTTGAGCTATGTACATAGTGATTTTCACTATACATACTCCAATATATACAAGTTAAAGCATAAGAAATACCTGTAAAAAACTGATTCATTTTATACTCTCATTTTACATTGAGGCTGAGGACTTGCCACAATTTATAATCAGCTGAGCCAAAGTTTTGCATTCATTATCCACTATCTTATGCATGAATAAGGTTTCTATAAGTTTAGTACACTACTTATACACTATAAGGGAAGTAAATAGACAAATAGTGTATCAACCAATTAAAAAGCTTTCACCAAAAATTGCATGTTGTACCCAGACTAGGTTCTTGATCTGGTTCTTCGTGACAAAATAAAAAAAATGGAATTTTAGTTGGAAAATGTTACGACCTCCAAAATCCCACCTTTGGTAGTCGTGATAGCACCTAGTCTTTAATGCTAGGTAAGCCTAACACACATTGATGATTTAACAGAAATAATGACTAAAATATTATATTAAACTGATAAATATCATAATAACACCAAACGGAATAACAATCACAAAATTTCCAAAATCAGTGGAACTTAGTCATAAGCTCTACTGATATATACTAGAATCTCTAATACAATATTGTTTTGATATGAAAATAAATAGTAGAAAAGATAATAGCAGAATGTAACTCCAAGGCTTGCGAGTGTCAAGCGGGTATATCTTGAACTTTCCGAAATATCTAGATCAACTCACTAGCGTCCGACAGAAGCAGAAGTACCTGAATCTGTACAAAAATGTGCAGAAACTTAGCATGAGTACACCACAACGGTACCTAGTAAGTATCAAGCCTAACCTCGGTAGAATAGTAACGAGGTCAGGTCAAAACACTTACTAGACATAGGAAACTAAGCAGAATATTAATATAATCTAATAACGAAAAGTAAAGAATTAAATAACAACAAACAAAATATGATATAAGGCTAACAACGGAATTTAAGGCAATAAAGAACATCAAAGAGTAAACATATGATAAGAACAACAAGTAATCAAATATGATCAAAACACAAGTAAAACGAATGAAGAAAAAACCACAACCGTTCAAATCAACTAGCCTTTTCAACATAGAATGTATAACAAGACCCACATCCCACGTACCGCACCTCATATTCACATTTCACAAGTCATAATCACAATCTTCCTTATATCATCGCGTGAGCCTTACATTTATTTTTAAGAAAATATTTTTTTTCTGAAATAACTACATACGCTTTAGCCCCCTTATCTGTGTGACTTCAAGTAATTCCCCTACTAGCAACACGCGTATAAATCTCACCTTATCTCGTCGCATGTGCATCAATACCCACCCTTATACCGCCGCATGCGCATCAATATCACAACACAATAATTGACTCGCATCACATATGCCCATATGCCACAACATTACCAAAATCAATAATACCAATGTTACCATAACACATAGCTCACGGCTCAACCACAATGTGTACATGAGTCTCAATAACAACAAAAAAATGAGAAATAACTCAATAAGGAAAGATATTCCAATAACTAATAAATTCCAACCACAAACGTATTAATAGCTCTCAACAATTACAACTTCAATAACTCAACAATGAATGTATTTTCATAAAATAGCAACTTCAATTCCAATGCATAACATAAGATTAACAATAAAAGAGATAGTATGAGATAGCAACTACGACTATATGTATGAGAACTCAAAAATGAAAAGATTAGCAAGTAGCAACAACTACCGATAAATACATATAAGAGTAACCCCGACAATGAAAACTAAAATATGTAATAACAACTTCAATTAGATGCTTATAAGTAGCCAAAGAGTCTAAACCAGTTAACTTTCACATATAAGCCTGTGCACATACTCATCACCTTATATACACGTCTTTCATATAATTCAAATAGTACAATCAATTCATACAAAGTTAATCAAGATACTTACCCAACTAGGTCAAATCAATACTCAAAAGAAGAACCCGTTTCATTCTCAAAACTTTTTTTTCTTTTTCAAGTTCAAAAATGCAACATTCAAGATTGTGGTATTCAAATTTAACTATTGAAAATTTATTGAATAATTGTTCTTTGACGGCACTCAATTTTTTAATCTGATTAATTAATGAAAGCACTATTGCGGACAAATTTTTTATAAGAAGAAGATGAAGAGTAACTTTAAGACCAGGAATATTTACCTTTTCGTTTCCCGCTTCCGATTCGGTGTCACTCATGGCTATCATGGAAACAACATCGTCAGTGTTAACCTTTTCAGAATCTGTGCTTATTAGAATCATTAGTGCCATATCAGAGTTCCTTCCTTCATATATTGCTAGCAGTCTTTGCCAGATTTTATTTGCGTATTGCTAGCTGAAACCTTATTAATTTCCTCAAGGCTAAGATATTGTATAGAATCAGTTTGGCCTTGGTATTTTTTTAGCATCAGCTTGTCGTCAAAATCGAACTCTTCTTCCATTTTGGCTACTTCCTTCCTTCGTTTTCAATTTTAGTTGACATGAATAAGTCACAATCATCCATATGTCATAGTCCTCAACTTGCAGAAAAGTTTTCATTCTATTTTTTCACCAATCAAAGTATTGTCCAATAAGTAGGGGTGAACGATTTATTGGAGCTCCCTTTGGCCATGTTTGTTGATTATTTTATTCTGTTATGGCAAACGAGGACAATGTCCCATCAGTCTTTTCATCTTCATCATGATCATCATCGCTTTCATCCTCATATGCAGCCAAGAGTGCTTGCTTCATGGCCTCTTCTGCAGCCTTCATTTTATCTACCTGAGCTTTATTGTATCCAGAACCAGACCTTGGTCCTTCTTTAGGACCTTCTTTTGTTTCTTGACATGCTCTTTTTTCTACTCAATTTTCCATTGTGGATAATCTTTGACTATGTGATCAAACTTTCCACATTTATAGCAGTTGTTTGAAGTTAGTCCTTTCCGGAGCCTTTAGTTTGTTAGGAGCTTCACTTTTTCTAGTTCCTTTTACAATTTTCATAAACCATTTGAATTGTCTAGCAGTAGACCTATATCAACTTCTTCTTCTCCATCAGAACCAACTTCTTCTGAAGCCTTAAGTACCAGCCTTTTGTCACTCTTGGGGTCATCTTTCTTTAACTACAAAGTCCTCAATTTGTGTGTCGTCAAGTTTCCAACAAGTTCATCTAGGATGATTTTACTCCACTCCTTTGCTTCCTCAAATGCGGTGACTTGTTATGCATAAGATGCTGGAAGTATCCTGTGAACTTTCCCGACCAACTCTTCAGATGTAAAAGTCTTCTCAAGAGATTTTAACTCATTTGTGATGACTGTGAACCAAGTAATCATATCTTGGATAGATTCAAAATCCTCCATGGTAAATAATTCAGTCCTTCAAGAGCATCTCAATTCTAAACTGCTTTACTTGAGTGGTTTCTTCGTGTGTCATTTGCAATGTGTCCCAAATCTCCTTTGTATTAGTGCATGTAGAAATTCGGTTGTATTCATCAGGACCTAGGCCGTAAATTAGCATTTTTTTTATCCTTATCATTTTTCTCCATGGTTTTGTGATTAATATTGTTGAATTCACTTTTTCCCTTGGAGATTTCTTTTTCCTTAGTATCAAGTTTGATAGGAACATTTAGTCCGTCTAGAACAATGTTTCACGACTCGTAATATTCAACAGTTAGGAAGTCCTTCATCCTCGCTTTTCACCAGCTATGGTACTAGTCTTTGAACAAGGGTAGACATATGGTAGATTGTCCCTTATTCATCCCAGGGCCAGGTGGTGCATACATCTTGTGAATCTCTCTAAGGTGTTAGCTTAGTAATTGAGAGCCTAATTGAGAGTCACCTTATATATATACACAATATTATTTTTTGATGAAGCGGGTTCAATTGAACCCGCTTGACACCACGTGCGTTTGCCACTGCCTGCAGTAAGTCAAATGCTACACATGTATAGCATACGGTTAGCAGTAGGTTTAATTAAGAGATAATCTCAGAAAATTTTCTAACCGAAATAAAATCTTCTTTATATTATATTTCCCATAAGAACTATACTTCCTTATAAATTTGACCTTTGATTGAGTATTCAAGTTCTGTCAAGATTCTCCAAGTATATACACGGCTGCCATATCATTATAATTAAAAGTCTATCGCAACTTGCGCGAAAATGAATCCGATCATCACTATGATTTCATACTAGATGCAGTACAAGAACCAACAAGTAGAACCAAGGGTCTCAGACTCACTCGACCTAGTCAACCAATTTCTTCAGTTTGTTAATTATCAAAAATAAATTCCAACAGTATCATTGTGAATTCTTCTAAAGTTTTGTATCTTTGATTTTTCCCTTTTAGCCTTTAACCAAATCCACAAAAGTATGTCCACCCCTGATTTTTTATATCATGAATTATTCATATAAACGTGACTGAAGTAGTAAAATCCGCATCTAAATTTATAAATTTGGTCCAAAATTGGGAAGTCCCAACATATAATTGAAGTGCACCGCACCAATATTTTCATGCACATCACATGCACGCATCTTAAGTGCATGAAAAACTTGGTCGCACATCTATCATGTGCGTTTTAAGTACAGTCATTTTTGCACTTAAGACGTATGCGTATAAAGTGCAGCCAATTTTTTGCACTTAACATAAGTTTCAAATATTATAAAGAACAAACTTCAATCATCAATTTGTTAAAGTAATAACTTGAAGTTTGAAACTTGTGCAAGTGATAATGTAGTATCGTGGAGTTTGAAACTTATACAAATCTACTCCAAGGTCGTTTGAAAGTTGCACAAGTGATACTCCGAAATAGTGTCCTTCAGATTCAATACTTATGCAAGTGAAACTTTTTGAAAAGTAGTTTGAACTTCGTAAATTTTCTTGAAGTTTTGAGCTGCCCATTTTCAGAGCCTTTTTTGCTTGTCCTGAATAATCCATTCCAATTCCCAGTGAACGTGCTTATCCCATTTCTTTTGTTGATCTTCTGAGTTTTCACGAGCAAATTTATAGAACAATAACAACAACAACAAACTCAGTGTAATCACACAAGTAATTTATAGAGTTTCAATATTTGTATGAATCACTAGGGTTTGTGGATTCTTAGTAATGCAAAGAGAAGTAAGTGAGGTTCTTGAAGGAGCTAGAAGGAGGAGACTATGCTTATTCTTATATCATGGGCAAAAGCGCAACAGAAGAAGAAGCGGGTGTATGTTGCTTCATTAAGTTGTGACTATTTTCTTAATTACTTTACAAACACTGGTTATATTACAATTAGCAGCCCTAAAAGTGGTTGTGAAAATCATCCAGAACATGTTTGTTACAATACTGTGGTTTCAAGATAATTTAGCCTTTGTGACATGGTTTGACAAAATTCATTTAATATGATTGATGTCATAACTTGCTTTTACACATCACTTGCTTATTCTAGGGACAAAAACTTTCTCACCTGACTTGATTGTTGTCGTATTTGTGCCAGGGAAGAATCAGAGTTAATCCTGTCTCTAGTCAAGAAAGTTCTGGAAAAACTCGATAATACACCGTTAGGGGTGGCAAAATATCCAGTAGGACTTCATTCCCGTCTTAATGAGTTACGCAGGAAATTGGACGTGAAAGGAAATGGTGTGAAAGTATTAGGACTATATGGAATGGGGGGAGTTGGCAAGACCACTCTTGCCAAGGCTTTGTACAATCAGTTTGTTGTTTATTTCAAGAAACGTAGCTTTATTTCAGATGTTAAAGAAATTGCAAGGCGCCAAAATGGTATGGCCACTCTTCAAAGCAAACTCATTGGTGATCTTAAGTCAGGTGCTTCGCCAATCATAGACGATACTGCTAAAGGTATCCGATCAATCAAGGAGTCTATGAATAATGAGCCAGTTGCTATTTTCCTAGATGATGTGGATAACGCAGACCAACTCCGTGTGTTGGTTGGCAGGAGAGACTGGTTTTGCCAAGGAAGCAGAGTCGTTGTCACCACTAGAGATCAAAATGTTTTACTCCCAAGTGTTGTAAACGAAACTTTTGAGGTAAAGGAGCTTTCTTTGTCGGAGTCACTTACGCTATTTAGTTATCATGCATTCGGAAGAGAGCATCCTCCTAAGAACTTTTCGGTTCTTGCTGAAGAAGTTGTAAAACTCAGTGGGGGATTACCTCTGGCTCTGGAAGTCTTCGGATCTTTGTTGTTCTACAAGAAAAGATTGAAGGAGTGGGAAGATCTCGTGCAAAAGCTGAGACAGATTCGCCCGGGTGATCTTCAACATGTCTTGGAAATAAGTTTTGGAGCTCTAGATGAACAAGAAAAGAGCATCTTTCTTGATTTAGCATGTCTTCTTCTTAATACAAGGCTTGACAGGGAAGATGCAATTGCGATATTTGAAGGTTGTGGCTTTGGCGCTGAAAGTGCAATCACAGAGCTCACAGCAAAATCGCTTCTCAAAATCGTTGATGGGAATATTTTATGGATGCATGATCAGCTCAAAGACATGGGAAGGCAAATCGTACTACGTGAGAATTTTGGAGATGCTGGTAAACGCAGTAGACTGTGGAATCATGGCGATATTTTGACTGTCCTTAAGAACCACATGGTATGGTCTTATGATCTAATTAACACCTTTTGTATTTGCAGTATTGCTTCACTTGAAGTTAGTACCCCTACTTGTACATTGAGATGAAATTTCTTGTTTTCTACATGGTGGTTAAACGGCTAATCAACAAGTGTTCTAGTGTTCTACTTGCTCGTGTTGCTTGCTCGAACACGTTTCAAATATCTTTTTATATTTAGTTTTGGACTAAGTTATACATTGATAGTGTAGAAAACATTTACATTTTCAGTTGATGAGAGATATGCACAAGAAGCTTCAAGATAACTAGTGTTTTCTGAAGCCAGTAAGCAAAGTGATCCATGAGTTATTTAGTTGATTGTAGCAGGTAATACACCCGCCTTTTCTATTTAAATGATCTATTTGTATAAAAACTTTTTACACCATTAATACATAAAAAATTCCTTAATTTAGTACAAAAGTAAGAAAATGCAGTCAAAAGATACCTTTATGGAACCGAGAAGCATTTTACTTGGCTTATCATTATTTAATTGAGCATTTAACTTTTTGTTATTTGTCTTCTAGCTTCCCCTCTTGATCTTTTGATCTAATCTGAACAAATTCTAGGGGACAAGAACAATTGAGGGCATTGTGCTCGACTCTGAGAAGAAGAATGATCTAAAACCTAAGGAAGTAAAGTGGATCTATTTGAAGAAAGTATTTAGAAAATATATTGGTCAAGGTATAAAGGAAAATGGTGTAACATTTTACACTAGAGCTTTTCAGCGCATGGTCAATCTGAGACTTCTTCAAATCAATCATGTCAAATTGGTCGGAAATTTCAAGCTATTACCTGCTGAACTGAGGTGGCTGCAGTGGAAAGGTTGCCCTCTGGAAGTTATTCCTCCAGAATTACTGTCCCGAAAGATTGCGGTTCTTGATTTGTCGGAGAGCAAGATTACACAGCTCTGGAATAAGAAAAAGTGGAATTGCTACCAGAACAAGGTAAATGAATTACTTCAACCAATCTCCTTTTTTACTAGCTTTGTTTGTTGGTATAAGTAGAAGAACTACATGTCTCCTTTTTGACAACTTTGTTTGTTGGTCTCATGTACTACAAGCTTTGTCAGGTAAGTGGCTAATTGTTTTTATGTCTCTATGAAGCCGAAGCACACAAGGAAAAGGTGCAATTTTTATATCTTTTTAATGGAAATGTTTGTTGGTTTGTCCTCCCTTATCATCCCCCTGGCTCATTTTCCTTAATGTTTATTTTCTTGGCTTTCATGTCTATTGATCTCAAAGTGTTATTCTGCAAGTCGTTTCCTTTTGCAATGACTGAGCAAATCTTCATCTGATAGATGGCAAAGCAGCTGAAAGTCATGAATCTACATAGTTGTCGCCAACTTAAGGAAATCCCTGATTTATCTGGAATTCAATTGGAGAGGCTGATTCTTGAACAATGCAATGAACTAGTTATGATCCATCCGTCAATTGGAGACTTGACTAAGTTGAACTATTTGAACATGAAGGACTGTAAGAGCATTTTGGCATTTCCAAATGACGTGTCTGGATTGAAACATCTACAAATACTTATCCTATCTGGTTGCTCAAGTCTAAGTGAATTACCAGAGGACTTGAGTGGCTGGAAATCTTTGCAAGAGCTTCTTCTAGATGGCACGGCAATAAGAAAGCTACCTAACTCTATCTTTCACCTGAAGAATCTTCAAATCTTGAACTTAAATGATTGCCGATCTTTGGAGTTGCTTCCTAGAGCCATTGGGAATCTAAGTTCGCTGAGAGAGCTTTCTTTTAACGGATCCGCTTTAAAGGAAATGCCTGATTCCATTGGAAATTTGAAAAATCTTGAGGAATTAGGCTTGAGAATGTGCAGGGGACTCATCTCACTTCCTGATTCCCTTGGCGATCTTAAATCTTTAGTAGGACTTTATCTTGATCACAGCTCCATAAAAGAATTGCCATCTTCTGTTGGTTTATTATCTCATTTGAAGTTCTTTACGGCCAGCAATTGCAAGTCCTTGAGTGAATTGCCCAATTCCATGAGTAACTTATCGTCATTGGTTTGGCTTTGTCTACAAGGGACCTCAGTTAGTGAACTAAATTTCCATTTAGGAAATTTCAAGTCCCTTGAGAAGCTTGAGATGAGGAACTGCATTTCAATCAGTTGTTTACCTGACTCAATTGGAAATATGTTATGTTTAACTACTTTGGCCCTATGCAATACATCGATTACTGAGTTACCAGAATCTATAGGCTTATTGGAACGACTTTGGATGTTGGAGCTGAATAACTGTTTGAATCTCCAACGTCTTCCGGCTTCAATTGTAAGCCTTAAGAGTTTGTGTTACCTATATATGGATGAAACTGCTGTCTCCGAATTACCCGATGAAATTGGAAAGCTTTCAAGCTTAAAACTACTGAAGATGAGAAAGAAACCACAGCCTAGAGTGGACGAAAATGAGGATGGTTTACATGTAGGAGAAAGCTCTAAGCGCGTTACTCTTCCAGAATCATTTTCAAATCTATCATCCTTGGAATTCCTAGATGCTCATGCATGGAAAATATCTGGAAAGATTTCTGATGATTTTCAGAAGTTGTCTGCTTTGGAAAAGCTCGACCTTGGACACAATGATTTTTGCAGTCTCCCTTGTAGCATGAAAGGACTTTGTGTTCTCAAGCGTTTGCTTCTCCCTAACTGCAGAAAGCTCAAGTTTCTCCCTCAACTTCCCTCAAGTTTGGAATGGTTAAATGCTGCAAACTGCTCCGCGTTGGAACATATAGCTAGCATATCAAGTTTGGAATATTTGGAAGAACTCAACTTCAGTAATTGCAAGAGGATAATGGATATTCCTGGCCTTGAAAGCTTGAAATCTTTGAAGAGGTTGTATACTCTCGGTTGCAACGCGTGCTTTTCTTCTATAAAAAGGAGGATTTCCAAGGTTCTTTCTCCTCCTCTCCTCCCCCCCCTCTTAGACAGCAGCATTATATATACATTGTTTTATATGAAGTCGACTAAGATTCTGAATGCAGGATTGTCTAAGGCATATGAAGTATCTCTGTGTTCCAGGGGATGAACTTCCAGATTGGTTTATTGAGGATGTACCTATTAGCTTCTCAACTCGCAAGAACCGCGATATCAAGGGGGTGATCATCGGTATAGTTGTGTCTCTGAACCAACAAGTAGAGGATAATTTCAGATACGAAGTCCCAGCGATCGTGGATATACAGGCAACGATTACCAGACAAGGTGATGTTGAACCTAAACTTAAGAAAACTTTGTACTTGTTGGGAGTTCCTGATACAGACGAAGATCAGCTCTATTTATGTCGATTTCAAGAATACAGTGATTTTACCCTTATGTTGGAAGACGGAGACACAGTGCAGGTTGGAATTAAAGAGCGTCCACGTTTTAATGGCCTCGAACTGAAGAAACATGGGATGTACTTAGTTTTCGAAAATGAGGATGATTTTGATGATAATGATGAGGATTTGTTTGATGAATCTCAGCAGTCTGTGTCAAAGAAACTTACTAACTTCTTTCATTCATTATGAAACAGCTCATAGCCAGAAGTGAATCCAGCATATTATAGAGTGGACTCCCAGAATCGGACAATATATATGATTTGTACAGAAAATTCAAAGAAGAATTTATAGAAATGTGTATAATGCTTACTAGCTACTGGCAATTATTTTCATAATCGAACTTAGAAACTTGAATATATTTGATTTTTGATGTGTGACCGCAGTATGCCAGAAGTGCACATATTGATCTAAAAATTCCACAAGACCTCTTGGTTATACTCATTTTCGAGGCAAATTTAAGTTGCCAGTGCTTAAGTGATTCATTAAATATGCACCTCTTCTTTTTAAACCGTTTTGACATTTTCACTAATTTGTGGGCACCAATAAGCACTATATAAACATATGATATTTTCATTATTTGTTAAGTTCTTTCTCGTTTTCATGCTTATTGCAGTCAAAGGGAATATTCAGAAATAGACAAATTCTTTCTAGTGTTATGAGCTTTTCTCACTGATTTCCTGCATCCCAAACACGTTGCCTTTGCTGGGATGAAAAACTTCTAATTAACTTCTGCACTTTTGCAGACACAATGTTGAAGATTGGTATCTAGTGGTTCTACATTTATCTGAAGGGAATCAGCTTAAGAGAAGCATGCATAATAAAAATCCAGCTTTTAACATATACCTAATATGATTCCTATTTGAGAATTCAATTAATTTTCTTTGGTTACAGTATATATAACTCCACTATGTGAGCAACCAAAGTCCCGGTAAAAGAAAAAGATTGTAGTAGGCCGGCACCAAGCGTAAAACTTGTCAATTCATGATGAGTCCCGTAATTACTAAAATAGTTGCAACTTCCCAAATGGCAAGGGTGATATAAAGTGGAAAGAGTCTTATAGTCTCTCATTTGTTTCGGGAACTTGTCTAATTTAGAGTCTAGATTAATTTGATCTCTTTGTATCTTTCTCATTTTATTTCGATTGTGCCCATAACTCTCTTACTTCTTTTTTATAATGATATTTTTATATTATACAATAGTCATAAATGACATCACAAGAAGTACAATATATCTTCTTTGAAAGAAATATCAAGCTGAATAAAATATTGAAGGTATTTGGGTAAGCTTATAAACACTTTTTAGCTTGTTTACATATTTGGTAAATATTAAAAATACTGACAAGTCAAAATAAATCATAAGTTATAAGCGGGTCACCCCAACTTATGATTTTTTTAGCTTATAAGAAACTTTTTATTTGACCAATCATCCCAGCTGTTGCCAATTCATCCTCCAACTTAACTTCAGTGGCTGCTGGGTTTTATAAAGCATGAATCTCTTGATCAACCTTTTTATGCGGTGTAAATATGGTAGGATCTTGGTGTTCTTAGTAGCCCATTCTCTAAGTACCTGATGTACTAGCAAGTCTGAATCTCCAATCACCAGTAGTTCCTGGATGTTTATGTCAATGGCTAACTTGAGTCCCAGAATACAATCTTCATACTTTGCCATATTGTTGGTACACGAGAACTTGAGTTTAGTGGATACCGAATAGTGTTGACCAGTTTCTGATACCCAGACTGCTGCGATGCCTACTCCCTTGAAATTCGTTGCTCCGTCGAAGAATAGTCTCCAACCATCATAAGCTTCTGCAATATCTTCCCCTATGAACAATACCTTTTCATTGGGAAAGTACGTCTTCAACGGTTCGTACTCTCCATCCATGGGATTCTCTGACAGATGATCGGCCAGTGCTTGCTCCTTGACGCCTTTTGAGTTACATAGACGATGTCGAACTCACTTAGAAATATCTGCCACTTTGCTAGCTTGGCTGTGGGCATAGGCTTCTGAAAAATATACTTCAAAGGGTCCATCCTTAATATTAGGTAAGTGGTGTAGGCACAGAAGTAATGCTTAAGCTTTTGTGCTACCCATGTCAAGGCACAACATGTACACTCCAACAAAGAGTATCGAGTTTCGTAAGGCGTGAACTTCTACTCAGGTAGTATATGGCTTTCTCTTTCCCGCCTGTTTCATCGTGTTATCCCAAGATGCATCTGAATGCTATGTCCAACACAGATAATTACAACAGTGTCTCCCAGGCTCTGGAGGGACAACACAAGAGGCTTGGATAAATATTCCTTGATTTTGTAGAAAGCCTTTTTCAGTCCAGCTCGTTTCAGCATCCTTTCTTAACATCCTGAAGGTTGGTTCATAGTTTATAGTTGATTGTGCTACGGAGCGACTGATGCAGTTAAGACGGGCCAAGAAAATTATCACATCTTTCTTGTTCTTAGGCGGTAGAAAATCCTGAATGTCTTTGATCTTTGATGGATCTTGTTTGATTCCTCATGATTGACGGTGAAACCTAATAACTTTCTGGCGGGGACCTTGAAGGCACGCTTTGCGGGGTGCAACTTCAAGTTGTACTTTCATAGATGGTCAAAGAACTTCCTCATGTATTCTAGGTGATCTGAATTATTTTTGGACTTGATGATGACATCGTCCACATAGATCTCGTTTCTTTGTAGATCATGTCATAAAAGAGTATAGTCATGGCCCTCATATAAGTACTCCTGTCACGACCCAAAACCAACCTGTCGTGATGGCGCCTATCATGATACTAGGCAATCCGACTACGCAAACATTTCCAATACTCTAAAGCTTTGAAAGCAGTTAAAATTTAGAAAAACCTTTTTTTAAAAACAAAACAGAGTAAGAAATCATAATTCAATACAAAATCTCTCCCAAAATCGGGGTTTCACCGAGTACATGAGCATCTACATAAAGATACAGTGTGGTACACTGTCTAGAAACAAAAACAAAAACATAAAAGGAAATATAAGGGAGAAGAGTCAAGGTCTGCGAACGCCAAGCAACTACCTCGATGATCTCCGAAGGTCCGGATTCCTCAACTCAGCAGTCGCCGTGACCGGAAGCACCTGGATCTGCACACGAGGTGTAGAGTGTAGCGTGAGTACGACCAACTCAATAAGTAACAAATTTAACCTTTGGACTGAAAGTTAGTGATGAACTCAGCAGGTATAATTCAACATAGATATAACAGTACAGAAATGTAGGCATGCTTTCAAGTTAAACAATTAAACTCAATTCAATTAAAATAGATCAATTCTGAATGATTTGAGGAGTATTACCTCTCTACATCTACATGCCAATGCATATGCTATATATGATGCACCACGCTGAAAGCCTCGTGTACTCACTCTCAGAATACTCAATCTCTTAGTACTGTACATGGCCAATCTAGCCCAGGGAAGATCCATTCCATATATATATACATCAACTGACAGTCAGTCACTCAGTACTGTATACGTCCAATCTAGCCCAGGGGAAGATCCATCCCCAAATATAAATTATTCGGACAAGATCCATGTCCAGGGAAGATCCATCTCTCAGTATAATCAACTGCTCTCACTGGGGGTGTGTATAGACTCCGGAGGGGCTCCTTTAACCCAAGCGCTATAATAAGCCAGGTCTAGGCATAAATCAATAAATATGTTGTGGCGTGCAACCCGATCCCATAACTGTCACTCTCAATCAGGCCATCTGCCTCACTCAGTCATCAATCACTCTCTCTCGGACTCACAATGTCGTGAAACTAGCCCAAATATTATAATATGATATAAGAATAAATAGCAACGGAGACTGAGATATGATATACAATGAATAAATATGACTGAGTACGAAATTTCAATGTAATCAATAAGTCAACAGCAAGGAAATGACCACTATGGGTCCCAACAGTACCAACAATAGCCTAAGCATGATCTCGAGCATGATTGGCAGCTCAATTACTTTATCACATGATGAAAATGCAGATATCAACAAGATAAATCCACTATACAGTTCTATAGAATCGACCAGGTCATAGTTCTTATGGTGCACGCCCACACACCCATCACTTGGCATGTGCAGCACCTCAACACCAATTTGGGGTTTCAAACCCTCAGGGCCAAGTTTAGAAGTATTACTTACCTCAATCTGGGCAAACCTCTACTCCAACACACCTTTGCCTCACGAAATGGTCTATGAATGCCTCAAAGGTAATCAATTCCATAAGGGCATACTAAGTTATTAATCAAAAGTCAAAAGTCGACTCAAAAGCCGCCCCCGAGCCCACGTCTTGAAATCCGATAAAAGACACAAAATCTGAAAGCATATTTAATCACGAGGAGAGGGAGAAGCAAACGCACAAGGAGTTCATTATTCAATCCTCACTCATTACCCGAGTTTGGATCGTTTTATATTTTCCTTTACTTTAAACATATTTATGATTAGTTGCTCTATATCTATGGAGTAATTCCCTTCAGAGTTTGATGGATTTGGTGTATTGATATTTGTTTGTAGATTATAACTCTAGTTTTATGTATTGAAGCATTTTGGATTATTTAATTGTTGCCTCTATATTCACTTGTTCATGTAATCGAGAGAGGCATAACTTGTGATATCCTTGCATTATATTGTTGGTTGAGTTCATTAATTCTTCTTCATAATAGAAAAGGCTAGTTGATTTATTGATTAAACCTAGTTAGGAGAAAAAATGAGAGAGGTTATCCTAAAGACCAATTCACTACACATTCTTGCATATCTTTACGTGCTTAAATTGGTTCATCTTGTGAGGTTGAGACTTAATCGAGAGAGGAGTTTCTATTAAACGTCTGAACTGATAGTTGAGTGAATTCGAGAGACACACTTAAATATTAGAAGTGAATTATCTAGAGTTAGATCCCAAACAATTATCTTTCACATATTTATCAACCCCTATTTTTTCCATTGATAACTTCCTTGCTTACTTTTGTTTCGATTGTCATTAGTAAATAACTTTAGATTCTTAGTTAATTTTAATTATTCATCATAAATCGTCGATTGTTGATTCTCCTGGATAACAATCAACCTAGAAACTATGAAAATACTGTTTAACTCCAATCCCTATGGATACGATATTATAGAAACTTAATTCCTGAATTAGCACCAAAAACTATTTTAAACACTATTGATTTCCAATCCCCGGTAACGGCGCTAAAATTTGACGAGCGCAAAACACTACTTTAATTATGCTCGCTAGTCTTTTGAGAAGTCTCACTCTGTTTCTAGTTCGTACAGGTATGAGGATTTATATGGGATAATTCTAACTTTTGTTGGGATGAATACCCTTATTATGACTGGAATGAAAGCAAAGTGAGACAACCACTTCAAGAGGAGAATGGTAGTTTAGAAGCGCTTATGCATAGGTTC